TTGGTGGTCAGCTGAGCAGGGCAAGGAAGTGGTGCCAGGATCTCTCTCGTAGTAGTAGTACTTCCCCCACCCCCGGGCTTAGTTGGCTAACATTGTATTTTATGTAACCTAGTTGTGCTCCCCTCCTCACCCCCATCCCTTTTATGTTAGCCCCTTGCTCAGGTACTCTATTTCCCTTATGGCTTTGTCACTTTTCGATTCATGATGACTCTAAGAATTTTATTAGAAAATGTTAGTAGCCATAGCGGTAGCACTAATAATAATAGCAATAATAATAGGAACATTATTACTGCTACTACTATGACTATATTAATAATAATAGCAAGAGTAGCAGAAATATTTCGGTTGCTACTACTGCTCTTGCTATAATACTAATAGAAATAATAGTAGTAATAGCCAGAGTAGCACTAATATTGCTAGTGCAATAGCAATAGTAGGAATAACAACATTAGTACTACTACTTTTGGCATTACTGCTAGTATTGCTATTATGGTTAAAGCAGTAATAACAACAACAATAGGATTATTATTGTAATAAATAACACCACCAATAACAATATTAACCATAGCAGTGATAGGAATAGTCATAGTGACTTCTACTGTTCTTTTGTAGAGGCCTGTCCCAGCTGGCTCAGCACAGCCTAGTGCCCACACACCCAACGCCTCAGAGGAAGGCTTAAAAACAGGACACCCCCTGACACATGTAGCAGAAAGGGGTGGTGGGGGAAGGATTCCTGCCCAGCTCCGTGTGGCAACCGGCAAAGCCCAAAAGCCTGGGAAAGACCCAGAGCAGAACACAGGGACAGCTATGCCCAGGTCACCCCAACCAGTGACTATTTAACCTCGTGTCAAGGCAACACACACCCAAACTCAGGCGGCTCTTCCAGAAAGCCGTTAGAGGTCTCGCTTCTTGTGGGGGATCCAGCCCTGCGAACCCAGCTGCAGGGCGATGGTGACATCCACGGAGAACCTGGTGGGTGTTTGGCACTGGACGAGAGGCAGCAAGCTTCTCTGGACCAGACAGAGACAGGGGACACACAAGTCTAGCATGTGCTCACATCCATGTGCGTCTGCCCTACACTGGGTCCTGTCTCTCTCTAGTGAGGAGACAGAGGCAGCTTGAGCTCAGGGTGGCTCCTGGTCAGATGAGCAGGGGTTGAGTCTTGCACCCTCAAACCAAGCAGATCTCCCAGTCTGCCTTTCCAGCTGGCCCAGTGCCCCAGAGGGACCCGTCTGCTCTCACAAAAGCAGGGGTGTGGCAGGGAGTGGTGCTGCCAGAGCTGGCACAGGATCTCAGGGTATTATAACCAGGATGTCTCTAGTGCTTGCATTTTATCTGGACAGGAACAAGAGAAGCTAAAGCAAGTTCCTCCACACAGGACACGGTGTATTGGGACACTAGTGATGAGGGGGCATTCCCCAGACATGACAGCATCCTGTATTTCACCCAGAGGATGTGTCCTTCCCCAGGAGAGGCAAGACCTGCCACAGGCTGCCCCTCCTTCCCCCAGAAAAGGCACTCTACTGGCCCTTGGCCACAGGCTTTTGCCAAAGGGCAGAGGCCTTGCTACACAGCAGTACACGGGAGTGAGGCCTTGAGTGTGACCGACTCCTGAGGCCGAGGGTTTGTACAACCCCTAGACCACAGCGAATCCTCAGCAAAGAGAACAGGCTGGGGAAAAGCAGGCACCTAGGGATGCAGAGTTCTGGAGAGAGGCCAAGAAGCAAAACCAGCATGACTGGGCTCAGGGTGCCATAAGCAGCTCTTTTGCAGAAGCCAATGGGCATGGGAGGCAACTGTGCCTTCTCCCAGGCATGAAGGTACTGGTGCTGGGGGAAGGTGTTACCACATGCAACACTACAGTACTGATGCTTCCCCCTGCGCACATGGTGCTTGCCTAGGTCCAAGGGATATGGCAAAGCTCTTCCCACATCTGTTGAAGTGGTGGGAGAGATCTCCAAAATGGATTTTGCGGTGAGCAGCCAGGGTCGAGAGGCAGGTGAAGCCCTTTCCACACTGTGCATATGCAGTGGTGCCAGCCCAGGGTGGAGTCATTGACATAGCTCTTCCCACACTCGGAGCACTAATGTGGCTTTTTCCCCATGTGGACACGCTGGTGATTGGCCAGGCTCGAGGATTGAGTGAAGCTCTTCCCACACACAGAGCACTGATATGGCTTCTCCCCTGTGTGGATTCGCTGGTGCTGGGCAAGGTGGGAGGACTGGATGAAGCTCTTCCCACACTCAGAACACTCATGTGGCTTCTCCCCTGTGTGGATGCGCTGGTGTTTGGTCAGGTTGGATGATTCACGGAATCTCTTCCCACATTGGGAGCACTGATGTGGTTTCTCCCCCGTATGGATGCGATGGTGATTAGCCAGGCTGGAGGATTGGGAGAAGCACTTCCCACACTCAGAGCACTGATGTGGCTTCTCCCCTGTGTGGATGCGCTGGTGTTTGGTCAGGCTAGAGGATACACGGAATCTTTTCCCGCATTCAGAGCACTGATGTGGCTTCTCCCCTGTGTGGATGCGCTGATGCATGGCCAGGTGGGTGGATCTAGCAAAGCTCTTCCCACACTCAGAGCAACCATGTGGCTTCTCCCCTGTGTGGACACTCTGGTGATTAGCCAGGGTGGAGTACTGGGCGAACCTCTTCCCACACTCAGAGCACTGATGTGGCTTCTCCCCTGTGTGAATGCGCTGGTGTTTGGTCAGACTAGATGATTCACGGAATCTCTTCCCACACTCGGAGCACTGATGTGGTTTTTCCCCTGTGTGGATGCGCTGGTGTATGGCCAGGTGGGTGGATCTGGCGAAGCTCTTCCCACACTCAGAGCAACAATGAAGCTTTTCCTCTGCGTGGACATGCTGGTGGTCAGCCAGGGTGGAGTAGCGAGTGAATCTTTTCCCACACTCAGAGCACTGATATGGCTTCTCCCCTGTGTGGACGAGCTGGTGTTTCGTCAGGTTGCAGGATTCATGGAATCTCTTCCCACACACAGAGCACTGATGTGGCCTCTCCCCTGTGTGGATGCGACGGTGTTTTGTCAGGCTGGAGGATTCACGGAATCTCTTCCCACACTCAGAGCACTGATGTGGCTTCTCCCCTGTGTGGATGCGCTGGTGTATGACCAGGAGGGTAGGTCTGGCAAAGCACTTCCCACACACACAGCAACAATGTGGCTTCTCCCCTGTCTGGGTGCACTGGTTGTTGGCCAGGATGGAGGAATGGTTGAATTTCTTCCCAAATTCAGAGCACTGTGTCTTCTCCCAGGCGTGAAGGTACCGGTGCTGAGCCAGGGATAGGAAATGGGGGAAGGTGTTACCACATGCGAGACAACAGTACTGATGCTTCCCCCTGTGCACATGGTGCTTGCCTAGGTCCAAGGGGTATGCAAAGCTCTTCCTACATCTGTTGAAGTGGTGGGAGAGTTCTCCAAAATGAATTTTGCAGTGAGCAGCCAGGGTCGAGAGGCAGGTAAAGCTCTTCCCGCACGTGGCGCACAGGTGGGGCTTCTCCCCATTGTGGCTTCTCTTGTGCAGAGTCAGGAGTGAGGGGCAGCTAAAGCTTTTCCAGCACTCAGAGGAGGGGTGGGCTTTGTCCCTGGGGTTGGCGGGGAGCTCCTGCTTCCCTCCGAGGCCCTCCCCACTGGCTTGGCTCAAATGCTGGGTCCCTCTCCAGTGGAGCATTTCTTCATGGCTCTTTTGCCCCACAAATCCTTCCCTGCTCTCAGGGCGCTCTCTGGCTTCTGTCCCTTCTCCGCTCTTATAGCCAAGGGGAGATGGCTCACACTTCACTGCTACATTCTCCCTTAGCTTTTGGGGCCCTTCCTGGCTCTTGAGCCACTGGTCCTCCACATGTCTCAGAAACTCCATCTCGCCCAAACTGCAGGGTTGCTCCAGGTTTGCAGGCCCTTCTTCAGGACTCTGCTCCACAGCTCTGCTCAGCAGCCAAGTGCGTTCTGTGTAGGGCAGAGAAACTCCAGGTTAGTCCCTGCCCTGCTGGCACAGGTCAAACACTGCTATTCCCTCTGCTGCAATGGGCCTGCAAGCACAACTGGACCTTGCAATTTGCTTTTGCTTAAGAAAACAAACTCTTCCTGCTAAATCCCAAGTGCTGGGGGTGAGGAGGGGCATGTCCCTATGCTGGGCTAATGATCCCTGCTCGTTGGAGGTCAGAGCGAGACTCTCAAGAGTTTCTGGCCCAGCTGTCAGCTGGCCCATCCCTTCAGACCCTACTGGCAGAAATCCAATTGGGACACACGTGTTGGGACAGGACCTGAATGGCTTCCTGCTCTAAGGGGCCCTGTAGACTAGAGGCAGAATCAGCATAAAGGAAGAAGGAGGCTCTCTGAGGGCTGCTCTGGTGCAGAGCACTCATGGGTTCAGGGGGAGATGATACTGAGCCCTCCACCTGGCTGGGCCAACATGCTCCAGAAGCCAAAGTGCACTGGTGAGACTTCTGTCCTGTGCTCAACCGTGATGTCTGACAGTCCTGAGAGCAGCATCTGGCAGCAGGATGGACAGCCTCGCAGTGGATTTCTGGGGCTTGCCAGCAGTCAGGGTTGTGTAGGGAGCGCGGCTGGACACTGGACCTCCTGTTTGTCCTTGGTAGAAAAAGGCAATGTGGTTCATCCATTCTGCCTTCAAGAACTATTCTGGGAGGGGAGGACTTAGAGCTCTGGCTCTCCCTTCTGGAAGGAGCAGGGCTTTGCCTCTTACCTGCTTCCAGAGAAAGGTCTGGGGGACAGAACCAGCCCATGGGACTTTCCTCTGCTGACGAGGCCCAGGTGGCCTCTACATCACCAGAATCTGCACCAAAACCTGGCATGAACCTGCACTTGGACTCTGGGCTGAGTTCCAGGCTGTGTGACACTCACAGCCCAGAGATGAAACACAAAGGCACAAGCCATGGGGGAGATTCACTTCCCCTGCATCATGAGAGCTTTTGAACCCCACCCACCCCACAGAGCCATTAAATGTAGCCTGAGACCAGGATTCAACACTTCCTGGGTTCGAGGTCAACTGGACCAGGAGACACCAGGCCTAAGCCTAAACATCTAGACAGCCAACTTGTCTGCCCTGAACAGCTGTAGTTTGGGGGAATGGCTGCTCTTCTCCACAGGTTGGAATTTCAGTGTGTGAGAACAACACCTGCCTGGACACATGACAGCAGAAACTATTTGAGGTCAGCACCTGGAAGGGCAGCTCAGGGCAGGTCTGCAGATTCCAGACTCCATGTCTGGGCACGGAGCATTTCTGAGAAGAGAGTCAGGGGAGGGGACTGCCACAACTCACCTGGCGACAGGTCCTCCAACCTTAAGATTTCCCTAC